AAAGAATACAAGCTTGCAAAGTTGATTCGGTTTTTACTTTTTGGATTTGAGATAAGATAAAGGGGCCCAAAAATGATGTGTTATGGGAAAGTTGCAATAAGATCCCACTGGAGGGAATTAAATACAAAAAAAATCCCTTAAAATTATCAAATTATTTTAAAGTTTCAAGAGACCTCATTGCAATAAATTTTATTTGTTTAATTAATAAATTGCCCTTATTTTCTTTTTTAAGTTTGCATTGATAACTGAAAGAGCAGTCGTTGACAACTTAAGGTATAAGGATTGACAACTATCACGGCAGATATTGACAACACATTTTATTAACACATTACAATGCAAACTTAAAAAAGAAAATATAATATATGAATTGTCAATACCTATTGTGATAGTTGTTAATCCTTACACTTTAAGTTGTCAACGACTGCTCTTTCAGTTATCAATGCAAACTTAAAAAAGAAAATAAGGGCAATTTATTAATTAAACAAATAAAATTTATTGCAATGAGGTCTCTTGAAACTTTAAAATAATTTGATGATTTTAAGGGATTTTTTTGTATTTAATTCCTGTGGGTGGGACTGGGTGCAATTTTCTCTTGAATTTATTGATCATCTTCTTTCAGAGGAAGATAATAAAGAGATTATATTTTCCCAATAAAAAGTTTTTCAACCTTCTATTATTTATTTTAGGCTTTAGACTTCCCCTCATGATATATCCTGCTTTCTTTAAGGAACATGTCAATTAATATGATGCAAATTTTGGCAATGATGGTTATGTGTGTATTGGTTGAGTAAATGATAGATTAATTGATATAGAATAATATTCTCTTCCTTACAACAAGACCCGTTTTAAAAGAGACAAAAAAATTTTATTTAAACTTTCAAGCGGATATTAATCATTTTTTAATATTACTGTCCATTAAAGTGTGATGCAATTTTTTTGTGACTCCTTAAGATGTCATTCTTATTTTTTTAGTTACTTGATATTCAGTAATATATATTAAATCATATCTAGGAATTGTTTGACATAATTAGAAATAAATTTTAATACTTTTTTCACTATCAACAAAAATCAAATAATTTAACCTTTTCCTTAGTTTACTGAGGACTTTAAGTCCATCTTATAATAGGACAAAAATCATTGCATATCAAGATTTAAGGACAACATAAGACTCACAATGAATCATAATTATGAGGCTAAATTAATTAAAGTGAAAGTTAAAAAATTAATTCAATCAAAGTATTTAACATAATTAGGAGAATATTTTATATGAAGAATAAAACATCGTTCTCAAAGCGTGACTGCTTTCACAAAAGGATAGCAATCAATTAGCTGTAAGGCAATTCATCCGAAAATAATAATAATATAATAATAGAAAAGTGGAGTATCCTAAAAAAATATTTTGGTGAAGACTTTGACTAAAGTAATTGTGGATTAAGGGGAGTGATGTCTTCAGATCCGAGTATCGTTCAGTATCAACTTATCTCTCTCTCATCACTGCACTTCTTGCGCTCTGCTTAACCTCTCTCGTTCTGATCTAAGAATCTCTTCAATTCTCTCTTCAAAACAACTCTCAAATTTCGAGGAGAAAAAGAAGGTAACAATATATAATATATTTCTTTTTACCTCTATTTTCGTCTATTTATATTATTACATTAACTTACATAGAGTTCAAGCTCTTTAATGGTGATTTTCAATATTCAGACTTATTATATATAACTGGATCTTTTAGCTTCTAAAATTAAATATTTCATTTTAAAATTAGTAAGACTCGTTTTTTATTTGTTCGGCAACTATTGTGTCCTCTATTTTCTCTCTTTTATTTTCCTCTTCATCTATTTATTAGATATCATTTTTGGCAATAATGATTTTGCATTATCAAAATGTCTTATTTACCTTCTTGCTATATATCTATATATATGGATATATATCTGTATGCAATTCTTTATATTTTTATATTCTTATTTTTATACGTGACCGTTTCCTTTAGTATTCTCTTTAATATCGTTGAAATCTCAAAACATTTGATAAAGCATTATGACATTTTTTGTATAGTTTTAATTATAATGTTGTAGCCATTTGATGTTTATATTGGATCTTTTCAATTATGAAAAATTGAAAGTTTCTGGAAGAGGATAACTGCGAAATGCTTATTCCTTCCCTATTTAAAAAAAATAGTTCATAGGAGAAATGCATGTTCCTTGTGATATCGAAAAATATTATATGAGTGGATTTATTTTTGATCACTTTAATCTCATACTTGTTACATATTTTCTCTCATAATTAAAGCCGTCGCTTGTCCTTTTTTTTTTGGGGGGGTAACAGGGTTTGTGTTCCTGTGTTTTGATTTGAGATTTCTTTTATTTTCTGCCCGTTTATCTATGAAACGACGTTGAAATCTCTTTTTTTTTTTTTGAAAAGGTAAGAACATATCCTAATTTGAATGTGTTTTTTATTTTTATATTGTTTTATGTTTATATTATCATTTTTCTTTTACACACACACACACATCAATTGGAGTATCCTTCCAATCATATTTAGCATTTTGATTATGACTTTCATTACAAACGGATATGCGAAACTGTGTGTTTAGTTGCATTTGAATGGAAAAACCAGCAGGGCAGGAAGCTTCATACCTTTTTAGTTATTCATAGTTAGGCGCGTCTTCTCCATATTTGGCATTTTAAAATTTGTAAAATTAGTAGGACTTGTAAAATTTTAAAATTTGTAAAATTCGTATAAAATTTGTAAAACAAGCAGTATGTTCTTTTTTCCTTCTATTTTTCTCTTCATCAATTATCAGATCATTTTTTTAATAATAATAGTTTTGCATGATCATTAGTTATTATTATTATTATTATTATTTTTTTAACGATTCACGTTGAAATTTGTATGCGATTCAATATTCTCTTTATTCTGATTGAAATCGCAAGAAATTGGTGAATATACAATATGATTATTGTATAGTTTTAATACAAATATTTATATGGAAATCTCTTTTACATATTTCGGATTGACAGGATTTGCATTCTTGTATTCTAGTTTGAGAATCTCTTTTATTTTCTCTTGATTCAACACTGAAATCTGAAAAAGAAAAAGGTAAGGATATAGTTTTATTTGCTTGAGTTTCTTTCTGTTATTTTTATATTGTGTTTATACGTTTTTATTACTATTTTCCACACACACACACACACACACACACACATATTTATATACAAATATGGTATTGCATGATCCAATTTTTTTTTTTAAAGGAAGTACTTGATATAACATTTCAAATTTTGGACATAGAAGTGAAAGAAAAAACCTGAAATGGACCGGCTAACAAACCCTAATTGAGAGGAGTATCAAAAGTTCCCTGAAAGGATAGAAAGATTATGAGGGACCAGATGACAAAAAGAGAGTTTTCAAGGACCAAAAAACGAGGAAGATAAAGACTTCGATAAAGTCTCGGGGGCCGTGTATGAGAAATTAAGATGAATATGGGCCAAAGATTATGACAAAGACCTCGATGACATGGCTCCTAGGGCTAAACCTTAAGAGAGACTTAATCATAATTTTGATAAATTTCAGAATGTTACACCTGACCAGGAAAAAAAGTAAATATAATATTCTAAAACTTGTTAAATTGTGGGTGCATAACTCTATGTTCTTATTTTCGAGTTCGTCAATTGCTTTCTTCTCCCAAATGAAAACAGAAAAAAAAAAAAAAAAACGGTTAGCATATATGATCATCTTAATTTTATTCGTATGTTAATATGTGTAACACACACTTAATACCATTAAGCCAATTCAATGAAGTTAAAGAAAACCTTGTTTGAAAATTTTATTTCCATCTTCTTAGTACATGTTTTTTGATAAAAAGGATAATATACTAACATAAATAATCCATCACACTAGACACTTGGCTATACATTTGCCACGTCATGACAACGTTAGACGGGAAGGAATGTCTCCCCTAACCCCTCTCTCTACTTCCTCTCCACTTAATATTTCCATCATTAGATCAAATTTCAATGGCTAAGCTTTATTTTATAAGGACATTATTAAAATATTAAATATTAAATAATAAAAAATACATTTATACTGTTAAATGTTAAAATTTGATATAAGTAATTTAATATGATAAATTTTTATTATATTTCATATTTTAATAATATTTTTACTCAATTTTAAATCTCAACCATTAGAAGTTAATCGAATGATGGAAAAATTAAGTGGAGATAGAAGTTACTGGAGACATTCTTCTCTCAGCGTTAGACAGGGAAAGTTTAGTTTGTGGACGTGTATACATTGCACCTTATAAAAATATTGATATTTATGGACTATAGTTTTAAATATTTGCTAAGTTAATATAAAGGTAAAGTCTATCACGTAATTACTAAAGAAACAACATATATTTATGATCAATATAATTAAAACATCATATATTTTTTAAATTTTATGTGTTTTAGATTTTTTAAGAAATCTAAATTTCATATAGTTATCATTTTTAAATCATATTTTTGTTTATCAATTAGGATAGGAGCATTAGAGCACTCCAATAGAATTTCTCCCCTTAAAAGCAAAACCATGATCACGTTTTCTTCTTTACTAGTAGTAGTTTTACCTAAATCTAAGGATGAATACCAAAATCATAAAAATATTTCAATTTATACATATGTTTTTTTGGAATATTAAAAGTAATTTTAGCCTCTAATTTCATGGGTTTCAATTTTAATATAGTCTAAGTGACCTTCGATTTAAAACCACTATCCAAATCCAACTTCAAAATGCATTAGTTGAGTCATATATATGACCTATAGCGAATTTCTTTCGGGATTCATATTCATTTATTTTACTTACTTTCTAAGATGATTATACTAAGTACCAAATTAGTATACATTTTGCCCCTTTTTTAGTTAGTCTTCTTCATTTTCATCTTATTAAAATCATTATGTGTTATTTCACAACTTAAATCAAGATAGAAAGATAGAATAACATTAACTTTATTTTCATGTTAGATGGAGAGCATCCCTGCTGAACTTGTAAAGAACGAAACCCTAAGTTTAGTGAACTTGGTGAAAAATGAAGCTCAATATTTATGTTGCTTCAATAGTTATGTTCAAGAGTGTGAGCACGCAGAGGAAAGATTGAATGCAAAACTCAAAGACGTGAGGAGAATAATTGATCAAGCTAGGGGTGTTTCTCTTGTCACGTCTGTAGCACTACAATGGACACGTGAAGCTGGAGAACTCATTGATGTTGACACTAAGAAAGAGAAATGCTTTAATGACTTGTGTATCAATTGCTGGCGTCAATATCGAAAGGGCAAAGACTTGGCAAAACGGACTCTAGATATTGACAAACTTCGAGAGAGAAGTAACTTTGACATAGTGGCAAGTCCAATTGATCTTCTAGGTATAAAATACCATTGCTCACCAAATTTTATTCATTTTGAGAGTAGAAAGTCAACATTTGAAGTACTTAAAAAGGCACTAGAAGATGAAGAAAACAATATGATTGGATTGCAAGGCTTAGGGGGAACAGGCAAAACCTCAATGGCAATAGAAGTAGGTGCTAAATTTGAAGGATCCATATTCGGAAAAGTCATCTTTCTTGTTGTCTCTAAGCTTCCAGATTTCAAAAAGCTTCGAGGTGAAATTGCTAGGACTTTGGGTTTGAAATTAGAGAATGGAGAGGAAGAAGTACCCCATCACAAAATATTGGCCAAAATCAGAGCATTAAAAGAAAAACTTCTAATAGTACTAGATGATGTGTGGATGGAGTTTGATCCCACAAAAGAGTTGGCGATTCCTCCTCCCCACCTGCATAAGGGTTGCACTATATTGATAACCACCCGGATTCAAGAGATTTGTAGAAAAATGGATTGCCAAAGAAACATTCATCTAGAAGCATTGACCGATAAGGAAGCATTGTCTCTTTTCCTCAGGCATACGAGTAGTTCCTCTAATTTGGAGAGTTTGGCACAAAATATTGTGGAGCATTGCCATGGAGTACCAATTGTAATTGTTGCTGTAGCTAGATCATTAAAAGGGCGACCTTCTTTAGTTTGGAAGGAAGCTTTGCGGAACTTGGAAAGTGGTGAGTCAATATTTAGGGTTTGTGATGATGATTTAAAAGGGGTCTATGAAGGTTTGAAATGGAGCTATGATAATTTGAAAAATGAAAAAGCCAAAAAGCTCTTATTGATATCTTCCCTACTCCCCGAAGATTTTGAGATTCCGATGGAGTTTTTAATCAGAATTGGTGTAGGAATGGGCCCTTTTGGGGAAGTTGATGACTATAATGAGAGAAGAAGAAAAGTACTTGATGCTATAGTGGAACTCCTAGATTCTTCTTTATTGTTGAATGCGGAGAGGGAATGTGTAAAGATGCATGATTTGGTTCACGAAGTAGCCTTATTGATAGGAGAAAATGATGTTCAATCTGTCATTGAATCTAAACAGCCTAAAAAGGGCTTGCAATGTTTATTTTGGAAAAGCAATTCATTTCCAAGACACTTTGATGGTAGAAACCTTGAGGTTTTACTTTGGGTTCTAGACAACTTAGAAGATTTGGAAGTCCTTGATACATTCTTTACAGGGATGAAAAAGCTCAGTGGTTTGTTTCTATGGAGTGAAGCTTTCTATCAAATTTCAGCTCCATCACTGTTTCCATCAATTCAGTCATTACAAAATATTCGAACTCTAAAAATAGGAAATTTTACATTATCCAATGGCATCTCTATGTTGGGAAGGTTACCAAATCTTGAGAGTCTATGGTTTGATGATTGTTCAATTATTAAATCACCTGGAGAAAATTTTGAGCTAGAGTTGAGATTCTTAAGGATAGAAAATTGTAAAATCAATATGAGTAATCCTTTTGAACTGATTGAAGCATGCCCAAAGCTACAGGAGTTGACTTTTGTGAGAAATCAGTATGATGAGAAGGAAGTAGAAAATACAATTTCTCATAAAGCATCTTTTCATACGTCACAGATATATCAAATATCTTGTGATGGTCAGGATGAATTTTTAGATTATTTTGAGCAACGTGGTTCCCTGTCAAGATGCCTTAAGGCAAGTAATTTAAGGCATTTAATCTCTGAGGCAACATTTAAGCAACTTGTTAAAACAGCTGAGCTTCTTATCTTAAAAGGTTATGGAGAAACAAAACAGAAAAATCTTGTCCCTGATATTGTTATGCTAGACAATAGAGGCATGACTAACTTGATCATTCTTCAATTGGATTTTTGGCCCAACATGCAATGTCTCATTGATGCTGTGAACAATCGCTTTGATGTGAAGAATGCTTTTTCCAATTTAGTTGGACTATATCTTTCTAAAATGGGACTAAGCAATATATTATTTAAGGGCCACTATAACCTTTGTCATCTTAAGACCTTGAAATTAGACAAGTGTCGAAAGCTAACTTCAATTTTCCTCCCATCCACTGCTCAAAGTCTTTCACAGTTAGAGGAGTTAAAAATTAAGAGATGTGATGCATTGGAATGCATTGTCGAAGATAAAAGTTCAAGAGGGGAAATAGGTCGTGGTGATGGTGATAATGATCAAAAGAGTTGTGACACTTTGTTTCCAAAATTTAAAATTCTTAAAATTGATAGTTGTGACAATTTAGAAATAATATTGCCAATCCTTCACGGTGGATGGCCTCTGGAAGGAATAACCATACGGTGGTGCGAGAAGTTGAAATATATATTTGATAAGTTCCAAGAGGTCAATGTTATGCTTCCTTCTCTGGAAAGAATGAGACTTGTTAGACTACCAAGTCTGGATGGTGTTTTTAGGGAGTATGAAAAATCCACCTCTTCATCACCCCAACAGCCAGCACCCACGCCTCCAAGCACCAGGACACGTTCTTTTCCTTGGGGTCAACTATGTTGTTTTAAATCAAAGGCGACAAGTGAAGAGGCTGATGTTGCTGTTTCTACAGGGAGATTACTTGACGAAGGAATCCCACAGGTATGATCAGTTCACTTCCCTATTTATGTTCAGATTTTTTTCACATTCAAGTCTCTCCCTTGTGAATTATTCATTGTTAATCACTTCAAAAAGAAAAGTGATTTACAATTAAATAAAATGAGGTATGGGTGTTATAAATAGTTATTGTGATCCTTGGTATGATACATTATTTAAAATTAATTTGAAGTATTTGTTTTTGCATGATTGACTGAATCTGGAACAAGAGTTTGTAAATACATCTTGTTGTAACAATTGTTCCTCGGTAAAAATACACACACAAAAATATTCATGCGCATGCAGACATGCCTTTTATTGCAAGAAATATAGTTAACAATGCTTAACACATAAAAAGTTTATGATATATCTTTGTTGAATTTCTTGAAATTATAATCGGATAACAATAGTTTCCTAGATTTCAAACCAAATTACACATCATCTACCACAACAAAAATCTTCATTACCTCTAAGTTATTTTCCTAGATTAGAAATCTATGAGCATTACGATTGCGTAAACAACACTGTATTTTTGAAGGGATTACTTGCATCAAAGATATGGATTTATACTGCTCCTACCCTTGTGAGACAACTAGCACTCCATGTTCGTCATATCAGGATGATGACACTTGCATCTCCCTCTTCAAATTCAGTATCAACTTTGTTCACTTTATCCATGGCATCCGTGATATCATGGGAAGAATTGACGATCGGATGTTATGATGGGCTGAAGCAATTGGTAACAAGCGAGGATGATGATTATAAAGACCAAATAAATTGCAGTTCCATTTTCCCAAAGTTACAGAAACTTCATATCTTAGAGTGCAAGGACTTGGAATTTTTATTTCTGTCTGCGATATCTATAGAAATTAAGAATTTAAAGTCCTTGACTCTTGAAGATGCTCCTCAGCTAACATATGTCATTGAGAAATACCAGCATCAGCATCAGCATCATTTATCCAATCAAAATCAGAATGACAAGTGGCACTTTGATCTCCCTGCTTTGGAGGACCTCTGTTTAGAGAGAGTACCTAAGTTCATCAGCATTGGTCCCATGAATTATAAAATGGTGTCACCATCTCTACGAAATGTTTGTTCAGATAAAGCACAACTGGATTTGAATACCACAAAGGTAATGCTCTCTTTTTATCTTGATGTTGTTTGTTCTCTGTCGGTATGCTTACTCAAAAGTGAAATATAAAGAAAAAGAAAATGAGATATGCTCTTTCGTTAACTACTACTATTAATAATTATAACACCGCATTCAATTTATTTAACATTTTGAAATCATTTACTTTCACGTTTAATTATCTGACTTACATATTAGGATAATTTAATTATTTATTTAATGAAACTGTATGGACCAAATTAATATTAGTTAGGACATATGGATCAAATTGAAACTACTTTACTAAATATTTATTTTGGAATAAGAATGATTTATTTTATTCATTATTTTTTATGTTAAAAATATTTTGATTTGATTTACTATATATGTACTATATGCAAATTTTACGTATTGTTTGTTTTGGAATAAGAATGATTTATTGTAAATGTTTTACAGATTCCAATGTTTGTTTGGACAGTTGAATTTGAATACCTCACCGGCAATAAACATTTTAAATATATTTGAATCATTTTATTCAAAATTTTGTTAACAGAGTATAAAATATATTGAATGCGGTAATAGAACTAATAAAGCGTTCCCCTAGTTTTGCATAAAAATATATTTGAAAAAGAAATGAAAGGATATTATTATTTTGATCCATGGTTACGCTTTGATATTATTTGTTGTATATTACTGCATAAAAATTATTGCATCTTTAAATTTTGGCTGCCTTCGGAATAAGAATGATTTATTCTAGCGATTGCTGTTTTGTTTAAAACATTTTTATTTATTATGTATTAACGTATATTTATATTTTATATGTTGTTTGTTTTGGAATAAGATTGATTTATTTTCTTGGCGATAAATATAACTTTCTAAAGATTTGTATTTATAGGATTTAGATCTACCATCCACATGTGGAGGTTTTCCTTCCAAGGCAGCTCAAATCCTTTTGGTCCAATCATTGAAGAATGTACGGGATATAGAACTTGCGAAATGTGGGAACTTAATATCAGTATCAACTCTCTCCGTTGCGGCCTCAACAGTTTCGTTGGAAAGTTTGAGAATATGGGGATGTCATAAACTGAAGTGCATCACAACAGATGATGGAGACGCTCAAGTTGATAATAACAATTACTGTTCCATTTTCCCAACACTGGAGAATCTGGAAATTAACGATTGTGAGGAGTTGGAATTTGTATTTCAATCATCAATATCTGGTGGTCTTCAAAAATTGGAGTCTTTGACTATTGGGAAAGTTCCTGAACTAAAATATGTTGTTGGGAACTACCAGCAAGATCAGCAAAATGAAGAGCTGCATTTCGAACTCCCTGCTTTGGCGACCCTCTCCATCGAAGATGCGCGAAAGATCAAAAGCATTTGTGCCAAGAATTATAAGATGGATCTGTCATCTCTTCAGAAAATCAAGATCTTGAATTGCGGCATTAAATCTTTCGATGATTATGATATGGTGAATTTGACGACTTCAGAGGTATACTCTCTTTAACTTCTGTACATATTATTTGTTCTGTTTTGATAATGTTAATTACAAATGGGGTATTGTTTGATCAAAATGAAATTATTTATGACCGTCTTTATATGTTGAGCATTTTTTTCCGCTCAATTTAGCTTTTAGATTAATTGTTTATTAACAAATATTGAATTAATTGTTGCCTAACAAGGGTGATATTAATATATGGTTACCAATAAGGACTTCGAATAAAAAAAGGTTATGAATGGATTATGCAAATTAACACGTAAAATTACGTCATTTAGCTCCATATATATATATATTTGGGAAAATGAAACTTCTATTACTCAAAGTTTCAACCCGTTTGGTGTTTTAATTAGCGTTAATTTGGTCTTAATGATTTCAAAATGTCAGATAAAATCTCAAGCTTTGAGTGCCTTATTGACATCAATACTTAGGTATGTGGATAATTTAATTATTTATTAAATAAAACATTTGGGGTCAAATTGAAAATGTTTTACAGATTCCGATCTTTATCCATATGTCGGACAGAATAGCACACACAAAGGGAGTAGTCATTTTAAATTGAAAAGATTTTTTTTTTTACATTATTAACATTTTACGTAATTTTTTATTAACAAATTATCAAATGGAATGGGGTGTAAGGGAGCTCATAAAGAGTTGAATTAAGTTTTTATTTGCTCTGATATTATTTGTTGTATATGACATGACTACATAAAAAATTTACATACTCAGATTTTACTGATTGTTTTTTTTCAATAAATCTTCACTGATTGTTTGTTTTGGAATAAGAATGATTTATTTTACTAAATGTTTTATGTTAAAAATATCTTTGATTTATTATGTATTATTATATGTTCCAATCTTGCATATTGTTTATTTTTAAAACAAGAGTATTTATTCTGTTGGTGATAGATATAACTTTTTAAAGATTTGTGTTTGTAGGAATTAAATTCATCTACTGGTAGAGTTCCTCCTTTCCATGCATCTCAAATCTTGTTGGCGCAATCATTGAAGAATGTTAGAGAAGTACACCTATGGAGATGTTGCAACTTAATATCATTGTCAACTCTATCCCTTGCCTCTACAATTTTGTTGGAAGATTTGACAATAAGGAGCTGTCATAAACTGAAGTGCATTGTAGAAGACGAGTCAGATGCTGGAACTCATATGAACTATAATTTCATCTTTCCAAAGTTGAAACGGTTACGACTTTATGACTGCACTGCATTGGAATATTTATTCCCCGCATATGCTTTCAAATGCCATGCATATCTGGAGTCTTTGGATATCATAGGGGCTCCTTTGTTGAGGGTATCAAAATATGTATATTGGAAGAAGCCAACATGAACACAATATAACTCATCAGAATGAGGGTATCAAAATCCACATGGACTTCCCTACTTTGAAAGATCTTTCAATTAATGGTGTGCCACGACTTGTTAGCATTTACCCCGAAAACTACTATTTGAGAGGGTTATCTCCAAGGTTGTCCATTCTTTTGGGAGGATTTTTAGAATTTACAAGACCTTTCAAAGATTTTTTATTTTGTTGGCATACAAAACAACAGGAAAAAAAGGTATGACTCTGTTCTACTTCTCGTGCTAGTGTTAATATATTCCCCCATTTGATAAGTTATATTATAATAATATTTCTCCCTACTTCATTCATATGATCTCGTAAAGAAGCAGAAAATAATAATATTACCTCACTAATTCTCTATTTTTGTAAACTATAAGGGCTTTTTCGTTGTTGTTTTCAGACATACATGTGTGAAAAAATAACATTTATATTTAACATTCAAATATATTTGTTTCTTATGAATTTTTATTTAGTAGTTTCAGTCACTGTAAACTCTACCATGATTTTGTTGAAACTGGACTGCCCATTTTAAAGTTCTTTTTGTTAGAAAAATAAATTTGGAATTGATTTATCTTTTATGGATTTTGTAGGCAGTGGAGATGTGCGGCCAAACTTCAAAAACTCTAATAGTTTGTGACTCCAAAATAAAAGAAATTGTTGATTTGATACATTTGAACACAGAACAAAATGGGGAGGGACCTGAACCATTGACATCAAGTTTACAAATGTTGAACTTGCAGAATCTAAGCGAGTTGGTGAATATATGTGTGGGGCCTAAACATATCATATACCTCCATAGTCTTCAGGAGCTATACATTAGTGGATGCAAAAAGCTCAAAGTTATCTTCTCCACTTCTACAGTGCAAAGCCTCCCAATGTTGACGGAACTAAGAATATCAAAATGTGAGGAATTAGTTAACATTGTTGAAAAAGATTATGAAACAAATGATGATGATCATCATTTGTGCCATGAACCATGCTTTCCCAACTTAGAACAAGTCTCTGTCAATGATTGTGACAAATTGAGGTACTTGTTCTCTATCACTGTTTCTAGTATCCTTCCAAAACTAAGATCTTTGGAGATAAGTAGAGCCAATGAACTTGAGCATGTATTGGTAAGACAAGGAGAGATGAAAGAGATGGTCATGAAGGATGTGCTTCAACAATTACATCAATTGGAGCTCATATATCTTCCCAACCTTGTTAGTCTCTGCCATGGGATTGATTTTCAAACTTTGAAAGGAGACTATAACACGAAAGTGGATGATTGTCCCAAGTTTTCTTTTTATGGTATGCATTCATAGAAGTATTTATTCTCTACAAAATTGGACATTACTGTATGTGTTTTATTGTAACATTAAGATCTTACTTTCAGAAATTTCAACTACCCAACTTCAAGTAGGCCCTGAAACAACATATTCTCAAGTTGAAGAAAAAGCAAAGGAGAAGCTTTCTTCTCATCTCAGTACCGAACAATTTTTAAATATAGGAGAAACAACACAACAATCCCTCACGGAGGTATGATTTTGTTGCTAATGGCATCATTTTACCGCTTCTTCAATGGTCCCCATCATGATTATATGCATGCTTGATTATTTTAATTTTGTCACAACGGTAAAAAATTTATCCTTGTTATAAGAAAAACAGAGTTTGAAGATCATATTTAAAATGCTGAAAACACACCCACACGCATGTACACACAAGTGTGTGTATTCCAACTGCTTAATGAATTTGACATCAACTGGGCGAAAAAACTTATAGTTTTGGACAGGGTATTCAAGAAACAATATATAATTCCATTTTGATAAGCATGCTATTTTGAAAATACCAAAAAGACATCATCATCATTTGATTGATTTTTTTTTTTTTACATAATTTGATTCTAATTTTATAAGGTGGCAAACCTTTCGGAGTTTATTTTAATTTTATTAAGGAGTGGGTTGAAAATCTGAAATAAAAAAATTAGTAAATAATAATATTTCTTTTAACAAAGGAAGGAAATAAAGTTACCATCAAACCTTATTTAGGTTCACTAATTAAAGATGTTTAGCCATTTAATAACTACTTATGACCCCTTAGAATCCCCGAAAGTCAAACAATTAAAAACTTTTTTCCCAAAACACTATAGGTTCTATCGCTAATGCCTTCCAATTGTTGGGATGAGATTTTCTAAAATACTTTAAAAATTCATAATTAATACAATATAGCTCCAAAAATAGTGGTTCAAAACTCTGAATTTAGCTCTTGAAAAAGCTTTATGCTCTAACTAATTCTTAACTCCCCCCCCCCAAATACTACTGTACTACATCTGAAACCATCGGATAAATTAATCAATGTTCACCTTACAACTTTAATTTTTTGTTTAATAGACCCAAACTTATGCTAGAGACTTGCTACTACACCAAGGTCCCTATTAAGCTCATTATCATATTGAAATTTAACCAAAACTTGACTTCCTCTTACTAAAACTATGCTATCAAAAAACAGGGCTTAATAGTAGACTTATAAAATTTAATCCTCTTCTTGCCAAACACTCTAAAAGAGCCACCAAACACAAGCTAGGGGCCTTTAACTACGCCTTAGGTGCTGGACGGGAATTTAGAACAATTGTTCCATGTTATAACATATCAAAACAGTAACATTTAAACCTCTCTGAGTGACAAAATTTTTAATTCAATAAACATCTAAAGGGTGCTGTCCAAGCAGGGGATAAGAATTAAAGTTCACAAAATGATTTGATGATGTTCCAGTTGCCCATAATCACTATACAAGAGCCACTAGACCCTTTACATGTGTAGTTCATCCACTTCTAAAGTTTTGGGTAGCCTTCCCTTCACATTTTAAAATGTTCCAGTTACTTTGACCGAACAAGGGAAGAGAATAAAACTCGGTTTAGCCACTTCACTTCATCCATATTTCACTTTGAGGGCTTTAGGTGTTTACTATTATTTAGTTCCCACTTAATTATAAACTTAGTACGTAATTAAACATTATAACAGTGGGAAAAAATCAGCTTCTGAATTCCAGATTTCAGCTCCCGTAAGAGAAGTTAAATAAATACTCCCCTGGAACAGAAACTCCAGCTTCAAAAATCCACTTCTTCTCACACATATCAACATGCATGGAATAAAATCAACCCCCATCCATCATCTAAATATGATTTTTATAGCTTAATGCATGCGTCCCTCCCTTTCTCTCTTTGAAAACCATATTTAAACCTCTCTTCTATTTGCGCAACACACAGCCACTGGAAAAATATTGATGGAATAATAAGGTTTAAGGTTCAGTTGCATGTGAGGGGAGAACTTTCCTTCTTCTTCGATTACTTCTTCACCTTTCCTCAGCTCTAGCTCTCTCTCTCTCTCTCTGCGCGCTGTTGCAAGGGCCAAAATGAACTTTAAATATAGTGGTTTAGATAGAGGCGAGCTTACTACATAAGCATCTTATGTTGGCATTTCATGAATCCCAACCCAACAAATCTGATGCTCTTTACAATACTTTTTAAATTGGACTACCCATTGGCTCATTTTTCTTTTCAGGCTTGAGAAAGTGAAATTGCCATTGTACCCATCACTAATCAGTACAAAACTTTCCCAGTAAATTCCGAAATTTAGTCTGGGACACTTTGTATGAAGATTTTTTTTATTAGCTTCTCCAGCTCCTAAAATAATTTTTCTAAAATTTTAAGGCTGAATATTAGCCTCTAACTATTTTAGGATTAAAGAATCAAAAATATATTTTTTTTAACTAAGGGATCAAATTGAAATCTTTTATACAATTCAAGAACCAAACGCGTAATTTAGTCTTTAAATAATGTCCCTAAACCTCAAATATGCTTTGAAAATCTTTTCTCTACTTTTCTCTAATTTTTGGGCCTTTTTTTAATTATTGTAACTTTGCTCTATAATTTTCTGTCATTTAAACTTTTGCTCATAAATTCACTATATTTTTCAACTTTTGGGTCTTATTTAATCAGTATTCAAAATTCAAATGCTATAATTACTACTAAATATTAGCTAAAAAATTAATTCTTTTTCATGCAGAATAATTAGAACTGATTTAAGAGAAGTACCACCAAAACTGAGACTAATTGTCTTTTATTTATAGATTTTTATTCTCTATTTGTGTCTCTATTACACAATAGTTTTCTTTCCGTGCTTTAAAGTTGTGATATGAACCCAATTATGTTTTTTTTCTAAAAAATTTAGTTGGTAGAAGAAAAACATATAATTTGAATGGGATATTTTAAATGCCAACAATAAACTCTAACGCAGATAAATAGAGTGTGTGTGTGTGTGTGTGTTCCAAATTTTTAAAGAATTTGACATGAACTAAGTAAAGCTTCTTTTCATCATTGGATTCAAAATTCTTTTAAGACTTATTTGTTAGCCGATCTCCATAAAGCTTCTTTTTATATATTGGGGTGTTGGATAGAGTACAAAGAAAACAACTACACTAACTTATCATCATTGTTTTATATGGCCACTGGTTTCTAATAGAAGGCGCCAATTCATAGAAGTTCCAACTTCACTGTTCTTCCTACAAGAGACAAGACTCATGCAAGTGCCAAGATTTTTGAAGAGGAAGAGGAAGAGGAAGGTAAAATATTGATGTGTTAGTTTTGTAGGAAATACTGGTTATTTATTTTGGGTTTTACAGAGAGCTTGATAACAACTGGACGTCCTCGAATAAGTGGCATGAGGTGTAGCAGTTCTTTACCAGAGGAGTCCAAAACCTCTATGGATGGTACTTGTTTCTTTCTTTCAATGAGGTATTTCATCATTTGTTTTGATATAATAATCATTTTTTCATAGATGACCCAACTGTGCCACCTTTAACAATTATTTCGAGCAAGCAAACTTTTGAGGCAATCTTGCCATTGAGTCCTATGTCAACAAAAGCTTCAACAAGCCTCAATCAAAGTCTTTCAACCGTTCTCCCCAAGCCTTCCAATGGTGATTTTCTTTGTTGTCATCTTATAGTGACATTTCATTCAAGTTTTATTCATACACCGCAGAAGCTAATCTTGCTATGAGGAGTGTCACTAACCTTGCACAAGACTCTAGTCTATGCCTTATAAGTGATTCTACCTATTATAAATCTTTATTTGCTTTTACAATTATATTTTGGATGGTTTTCATTTTAACATTATGTTTCTTCATTAATATAGGAAGAAATATTTAAAAACCACTAACCAACAAACTTCTAATGTTGTAGATGATGTTCAAGCTTCTAACAAATCTCTTGGCCATGCCATCGTCCCAAGTGGAAATGGTAATATAAGAGTTGATACAGGTGACCTAACGCACAAAAGGAATAGGAATATTATTCAAATGCATTCATGCAAACATATGAAAAGCTCATTATTCAGGTTTTAATATAAGAAATTGGAAAAATCTTCCATAGTACATGATTGTTCCAAATTTTCTTTTTATGGTATGCATTCAAAGAAGTCCGTCATTAATTCTAATTAAAAATTATTATGTACTTGCAGAAACTACAACCACTCAATTTTCTGATGACTGTAAAAATCAAGATTCTAAAATTTGGGGAGAGCCAGAGCAGAATCTTTTTTTCCATACAAATGGAAGACAAGCCTTAGAACCCCAACAAACCACAACTAGTTCCTCAAATTTCACAAGAGTATGTCTCATTTCATTGCTATACACATATTATTTTTGTTAATGGCATTTTCTTACTTTCTCTTGTCACCAGCATGATTATGTCTACAAGCTTTAATCATATGCCGCCATTCACTAGTGCAGTATATTCATTTTCTTTCTCTTTCTCTGTTTCAAAATTATCTTGAAGCAAACCATGCTTTTGCACTCTAAATGTTGGCATAAAAATTTGAATTTGATGTCATATTTGAACATTTTCATTCATAACTAAACCTTTTTATCATTTGGTGTTGGTTAGGGTAATAAGGAAGATGCAAAGGAGATCGTCGAAGAGGGTATTACTTTTGAGAAGCCGAAGAAGACAAATTTATCATCTGACTCAATTGTAATAGGACAATCAGTATGTTTTGCCTTATCTCTTTATCTATCTATCTATTTGCTTTATTTTCACTAAGGTGTTGATCAAGAAAATTACCGCAAAGTTAAACTTATTCTCTATTTTTTTAATAAAACCTTAAACAAACAGATAAAGGAGACATATTTCTTTTTAGTCATGAAGGATTACACGTAAATACCACCGGCGCTATGTGAATAGGATCTATTAGTAAATAAGTTGCTTAATGGGATTTCTCTATGACTTTCCCTTGATTATATATAATAGAGGCATCGGTCAAAATACAAAATAAAAAAACTAGTATATAATAAAATTTCTTTCTAGCAATGAAAGTAAAGAAAGATCCTACTGCATAAGTAATTCTATTTTTCTTTCTGGAAGAATGATTACGAGGGGAATATCCAAGTATTATAAACAAAACCGGTCCATAAAATGCATCTTGAAAAGTGATATCATCATCATCATCATCCTTTGCCTGTAGATTATTATTCTTTATTCATGCTAGCTTGTTCGAACTTTTGCCTTTTATATATTTATCTTTCACATAGGATGAGTTGATGGGCAAAGTGGCGAGAAATGAAAGAACCATGATTGATCCAGAACAATCTACATTGGACTCACAGAATTTTGCAAAGGCACATTGGATGGTATGTCAAATGCAGCCTAAAAAATAAGTACTAACCATTTTGTTTGATGCAGGTCAATTTAAAAAAAAAAAAAAAGTGGTATTCAAGTGCACCTCAGAGCCAAAATTCAAAAGAAAACTGAAACATCATCCAACTGATTTAATTACAACTAATAAAAGTAATATGAACTACAAACATAGCATTTAGTTCATTATAGAATTAATGCTCAAATGTGACTTATTGTTATTTCTAATATCAATACATATATTTATGCTAGATATTTGAACTTATGTCCCTTTCATATTTATCTTTACATAGGATGAGTCAGTCAACAAAGAACTGAAAATGGAATCAATCATGATGGAGCCACAGTCAAAAGAAGAAATGACAAGACATGGTACACAATCTCAGGAGGAAGAGGAAAGAGAAGGTAACATATATTTTAGTGTCTTGTCTTATAAGTAATATATTGGTTACTTACTTTGGGCTTCGCAGGTGGCTTGATAACTACTCGATATCGTCAAAGTGACACAAAAGCAAAGAACTCTTTCCTAAAAGAAAAGCCCAAGACTTCCATTCTTGGTACGATACTCAATTGGTTTCTATAAATGAAATCTTTTATCCTTAGAGCATTTGATAACTATATTATCCGCACACATGATTTCATAGGAGACCCGCTTGTGCCATGTACGGCAACTGTTTCAAGTGAGCAAACTTCTAAGGCAATCTCGCCACGAAGTGCTAAATCTTCAAAAGCTTCACTCTGCAAGCCTACTGGTAGTGAGTTTCCTTGAACTCTTCTTTGGATGTCGTCTTTGTCGATTAATTCTTAGATAGTTTTCATTCTATCATTACTTCACTAGTTTAAGAAGAAATAGACAAAAGGTTTTGAAACCACTAACCAGCGAACTCATGGTGTTGCAGATGATATTAAAGTTTCTGATGAGCCTCCTGCCAATGTCATTGGTAATGGTGTACCCATTCCACGGTCAACGACTCGACACAAGGGTGTTAATAATGACAAGGACATCAATGAGACAAATGTAACTCAAGATGAATCCAAGACAAAAATGGCGTCCCGTGGTGGCCAACCAAATTCAAGTGAGCATGTGACTGATGACCCAAGCAATCTTTGGCAGATGGAACAAGAGCTGTCATGTTCTAGAGGTTATCTATCTATTCCCTTTAATGTTGATCATGTTGCTTTGGGCCACTTAAATATTCTACTAATAATGTGATGGTTTATTAGGCCAAATTAAGCATCCTGATGTGACAAAGTCATCAAATATTAATACTGAGCATGCACAATCTTCGTTGCTTCCATTTTCTACTCCTTCAGATTCGGCACCTTCTGTTCTTGAGACTGACCAAGCTTTGAATGTTAGTGGAGTGCAAGAGATAGTTGAGATGATGAAATTAGAGGGTTCTGAGACTTCTTTATTGGAAGAGTCACTCAAGACTCACCCACAACTGCGTCTGTCTACAAATGATCGAAGCACCCAAATGCTGTGCGTATCCTATAGGGTATTGATTGATATACTCCACATTCTAACCACCAGAACACCCTTCACAATCACTGAGGCAGACAAGAGGTTGTTGGAAGAGAAATTAAAGGATGCTCGTTTTGTTGGTTTTGATAAGGACTGGCTTGAATCTATTAAGACTAAGGTTTTTAATAGTGATGTATCTGATTTTGATGGCATCCAAGAAATTATAACGGGTTTGGACAGTGATCTCAAGACCAATGAGGCAATGCTTGCAGCTACTCGAAATCAAGAGGTTAAGGCAGCTCAAGTGGCCGAAATGGCTCAAAAGCACCTGGAAGCTGCGTTACAAGAGCATGCAAATGTGATGGCAAATCATACTCAGCTTTTGAAGGCCCGACAAGAGATTCTAGCAAGGCAAAACCAATACAGGGAAATGATTGCTGCTAAAAATAAACATTTTGGATTCTAGCTTGGATTTCTTTTCCTTGCTTCATGTTTTTTTTTTGGGTTATTAAAAGATGTGCACTTCATCTATTGATATCAAACTCTGCAATGTTGAGGGTGTTTAGAGATGCTTTTGAATTTCACTAAAATTACAGGTGTGACCAGAAACTTGTACTTTTATTTTCATGCTTCGTGTTTGTTGTTTTTGAGTGATTAAAAGATGTTCACTTCATGTATATGTTATCACGAGACTGCTCTCCATGTGGAAAAATGTTTGCAAAACATATTGACATTTTTATATTTGAGTGGATGGAACTGAATGCAGTTGATAATATTCTTCTTTACTAATTTCTTTTTGCACAAAGACAGTCAATGTTAAATATATATTAATTTATTTAATTTTGAATATTAAGTTATTGAATAATAATAATAATTCAAACACAAAACAAAGATCTGTTGTACCTGCTTTAAAACAGAGCATGGTAAGATCAATGTGCGGTATCCTCTGTTTGACATTTTATGATAAAGCAAATTACAAGTCTTTATCAACTTACCTCTCTTTAATTCTGAATTAATGAATTCATCCGTTCTAATGTTTTATGCTATCTGAGTCTTTCCCCTGTTCTTGTTGGATATTGAAAACGGCATCGTACATGTAAGTGACGCAAATTCCCTTCCCTATGCGATCGAGGCCTTAACGTCAAGCGAGAATTTTGCTTTTTCTTTTTGGAATTTTAATTCGTCGCATAAACCAGAACAACTACGTGCACACAAACGGGGAGCAAAAGAAATTTAGGCCACCTTTTGAAACGAGTTCTTAAGTATCTTTTCCAAAATCTCTATTGGTGACAAAAAAATTTATAACATTTACAATATGGATTCTACACAATAATGCAGACTCTAAGATCATCTATATCAACTTGCCTTGCTTTCTCTGGAAGACAATATCTCACTTTCACACTAATTTCAGATTTTAGAATTTGCAAACGGGGGAACTTTTTATCATCAAATACTTTAGAATTTCTCTCTTTCCATGCATATATAATGAGCCTCTGTTATGTTTATAATTAAGAATGTAATAAAACATGGCATTTGAGATGCTAATATCAAATATACTTTACTTACAGATTGATTCTTTTCAAAGCAGGCATTTTCACTTCAAGGGCTGCCAATGGTCCCTCACTTTCTTAATTTCTCTTTATCACCAAAGGCTTATGTATTTTCAAGGTGATATTTCCAAAACGGTATGGCGAAAATGAATTGCCCAAAACTGCACAAATATCACTTTCGCTACTCTTCTGATTATATCTATAAGTAACTTCTAACATGTTTCATACAAACCAATGAAAATCTTAAACTTCATTAACTCTCATTTAAAATTTAATAACTTTTTAACTTTAACCCTATTTAATATACATTATATCCCCTGAAAACAAAGTCAATATAATAATAAAGAAAGGGTAAAGGTGTACATTTATATGAAAAATCTATCTCTCTACTCTATAAATAGAACCAAAAAACTTATTTTCTCTTAGCCCTATAAATAGGATTAAAGGAGTATTAAAACTCTAACAAACCACATTATTGGGAAGCATTATGAAAAACACGATTCATATTTGAGATTTTGTGCGAGATATCCATGTCCCTAACATGCCAAAGACTTTCTCTAACAGTCACTTTGTTAGAAACAGGGCAGCATAATTAAGGGTATTTATGTCATTTGGAAAGTTCATGAGGAGATTGATTTTTTTTTTTTAAAAAAAAAGAATTATCAAAACAGGGACTATAAAGTTAATACTCCTACTAAACATTAAGTTCACTATGCAAAATGACAAGAGATGAAAAAACAATTTTTATGTTTGAGTAAAGATAAATCATTAATAATACCAATTTTTTTTGGGGAAAGGTCAACTTATCCTATGTAGCCAGAACAACTGTACACACACAAATAAGTCATTTCTCATAAAACTTTCTTTCTCTTTTCTAATACTAGTTGAATTGATTTTCTACTAAATACTCATTCATTTCTTTTCTTTTTTTTTCAATGAAGACTAACCAAGAAAGAAGTCCAAGTGTTATAAATGCTTCGATTGAAAATAAGCGTAAATCCAGAGATTCCCGAATAGGTCAACCTTTCGAACTGCTACTGAATCCATGGGCAGGCAAGAGACAACCTGGCGAACTGAAACATCTTAGTAGCCAGAGAAAAAGAAAGCAAAAACGATTCCCATAGTAGTGGCGAGCGAAATGGGAGCAGCTTATAAAGGGTAATGCTTCATAAAAAGACGTCCCCAAAAGTGAGATTATTTTTCCTCTATGTATATAGATTGCTACATAATCTCGAACCATCCCTTCACCATCACCGAGGCCGACAAGGTGATGTTGGCAAAACATTTGAAGGATGCTTATCTTTTGGGTTTTGATAAGGACTGGATTGAGTATATAAATAGTAAGGGCCTGTTTGGTTCAGTTAGACGTATCCTCTACTATGCAATGCAATGAGGTGTAATGCAATCTTGATTACCATCAGAATGTTTAGTATGACATTGGAGATGTACAAAAGAAAATTAATTTTTATACTAGATTATATATGTAAACACATAAAAGACCAAAATATCATTATCCAACAGGGAAAAAAAAAAAAGGTTTGCCTTCTCCTTTTGTATTTCTTCAACGACAAAAAATAAAATGACAAGGGAAACATGCATGACATTAATTTCAATATAGAATCAAAACTCATGAAGCACAAGTCTAGCCACAAACTATACAGATTTGGAACCAATTTTCTGGAAGTAACTAACTAAGACACAAAGAATGACAAATTAAACCTGGAACTAACTATACAAATTTGGAATCAATTTTTTGAGTCTTTGGGAAAATCAAAACTATTGATCCTCCTCTTCCTACATCCTCTTCAATTGCTTGGTGTTGAGATTGAACTTCAAAAATGAAAGCCTTGGAGTGCAATTGTGAGAAGGAGTCATGATTGAGAGATGAAACTTTGTTGGCATTGAAGGAACAGGCTCCATCGGCATTGAAGAAGATGGTGGAGGCAAAGGAAGGAGGTAGTGGGGCATTGATGATGACACCGTCGACAATGGAAATGAGTGAGATAGAAGCGGGGGAAGAAGAAGTCCAAGGAAAAAGAAGATGAGTGGAGGGATTGAGGATATTGTGTCTTTTTATATTATATATGATGGGTAAATAAAACTTTTTAAAACATGCAATGGGATGGTAATAAGTATTCATGAGGAAAGTATGAACAGAGATTACCAAATTTTTGGTAATCATCATTACCATGATAAACCTTATTACCATACTAAAAAGTAACCAAACATCATTCTCTTGATAATGTAATCCCCATTACAATCACTGGCCTACAATGGGGTTGAACCAAACAGATCCTAAGATTTTTTACTGTGAGCAAATTTGAAGTTAATAGCATATAAAATGTTCTAAAGGGTTTAGACAATGATCTTAAGAGCAACGAGGTAATGCTTTAAGCTATTCATGATGAGGAGGTAGAGGATGCAAAAGTGGTCAAAGTGGCTCAATAAGAGCATGCCAACTTGATGGCTCAACATAGGCATTTTGGATTTTAGCAACTATTCGGGTGCTTCATGTTGTCCTTTTTAATTTTCACAAAAGGACTTATTATTGGTATAGACTATGCAACGAGTAATAATTAGATGCAATTTGGCCCCCCGCCAAATGAGAATGCTCCTAGGTCATGCATAAAGACTTGTTTAAAATTGACTCCGATGTTTGTTTGATAAGAATATTATTGTTGTCTCTGAACACAGATCGCTTGACCATACATAATCTTTCAGCAAAACAAAATCAACATGATGAGCTACGCTTTGTTCTCACACGAAGCACAGTGCATTTAAGTGGATAACGATGTTTCTTCTATGGTTAGTATTACCGATCTCTGAAGGCTCCACAACAACCATAAAGCTATGACTCTGTTTTTAAGGATGTTATTTCTGAGATGCCAAAAATGACGTTTCCTTTTATTGTCTTATTTTAATAACCTTTCGTTGTCATGTTCTTATCATCTCAAAAATGATGTTTTCATTGTCCCATTTGAATAACTTTTTTCCAGTGGGAGGAATCGACGTCATTTTTGACGTTATTTTGTAATCTTTTGGCTCAGGTGAAGACAGACATATAAGCATCTTGATTGCCAACATTTTCACTTATGAGTAACAAGTAGAAAAATCATAATCCTTTAGACAGATGATTACTTTAAACATGGCCATATTTATTCTATTTCATAATCCTTATTTCGGTATCGTGTTAGATCATCAAATAAACCATATGATTCTAATACGTTTAACGAGAAAATCTGTGAAGTTATATATCGATAATATTTGACTCATGAATGACTTAATTGATTTTTTCCTCAATCCTCGGACAAGGGCAATTATTATTACGATCATCATCATCATCATCGTCCAAACACAAAATAAAGCTCTGTTTTACTTGCTCTAAAACAGAGCATGGTGGGATCAATCTGTAATGTTCGAAACTGATTGGGAGGTTTCTTCAAAACTCATTATTTACAAAGCATATTTGAGATTTGGTGCAACATATGGGACTCTAGCTAGGCCAAAAGAATATAAATCAGACAAAAATAGTAGAAAGAAGGCATTATAATCCGCATGAAAAGGAATTAACTTTGGCAGTGTTCTTGATTGGAATTAATAAAGCATCGTATAAGTAAGGAAAAAATTTAGACCGTTCATGTGAGATCTGTGATCCAAAACTAGGAATAATGGATCTTGGGAATCCAGATAGAGAAAGGTTTTCTCTGCATCATGCTAACATTGACAGCTTGTAACATAGAATAAGTTTTAACAAGCATGAAATAAAATCTAAACAATTTGGCTATGCCATTAGGCATTCCAGAGAAGATGAAGCTACAGGGTAAAAGCACAGAAGAGAAAGAAAGAAAGCAAAAAGGAAAAAAAAAAAAAGAAAGAGAAGGAAGAAACGTAGCCTGTTTTAGTTACCCAGAAATTT